AATCCCACTGTCCATGTCACTAACAAAGATACGGAACAGCACAGGTCCCAGCACCGATCCCTGAGGGACACCACTCGTTACTGGTTTCCAACCGGAAATTGAACAGTCGACCACAACTCTTTGTCTGCGGCCATCCAGCCAGTTCTTTATCCACTGAGTGGTCCATCCATCAAATTGATGTCTCTCCAATTTAGAGACAAGGATGTTGTGTGGGACAGTGTCGAACGCTTTGCACAAGTCCAGGTAGATGACGTCAACTGCTCTGCCACTGTCCATCAGTTCTGTAGTCCCATCATAGGAGGCCACCAAATAGGTCAGGCAGGATTTCCCCTTAGTGAAACCATGTTGGCTGTCACCAACCCCCTTGTTGTTTTTCATGTGCCTCAGCATTCTTTCCAGGAGATAGCATATATGATAGCATAACTGCCTGCTTATCGAGTTTCTTACCTGTTTTTTTCAAAATGTTCTAAATCACAAAAATACTTTTACTAATAGTGCTTAATCAGATCTAGATTATTTTGTTGTCCCTAGGTTAGCACTGAATTGTAAGGAATTTAATTGAAAGGGAATTGTATCACTCCATGGTGCTCACAAAGATGTTTTTATGGATGTACCTGTTCAGTCTCTGCTTACATTAAAGTTCACAGAATCACAGAATGGTTGAGGCTGGAAGGGGCCACCGGAGGTCATCTGGTCCAACCTCCCTGCTCAAGCGGGGTCACCTAGAGCATGTTACTCAGGATTGTGTCCAGATGGATCTTGAATATCTCCAAGGGAAGGAGGCTCCACAACCTTTCTGGATAACCTGTTCCAATGCTCAGATTATACACCAGAAAAAAAAGAGTATTACTAATTTGAATAAACGGTTGCTCCTTGTTTAGTCATGGACAGAGAAACTTTGTTTACCTGAATTGAATGAGTCAGGATGATATTTTAAATTAATAATGTTACAGCAATTGCTAATGCTGCATGGCAACAAAACTTACCAGGCGTTACCTTTTGAAATAGAAGTTTAATCCATTAAAACATAATATTCTTTCCCATCCTACACAGGACATAGCACTAATGGATGATCACCAGAGAGAAGAGTTCATTGGTAAAATTGGAATCTCATCAGAGGAAAATGATGACAACTCTGATGAAAGTGCAGATTCTGAGCCTCACAAGTATAGCTGCAAAAGGTGCCAGGTAGCTTTAAATACTTTCAAATTAACTTGGTTTTGGGTGGGGGGAGGGAGTGGAGATGTCCATAAATCATTCAGAATTTTAGATAACGTTAAGGGTTCACAAAGAGAAGGCCAGTCCACAGGTCTGCTCTCTTCTGCAGTGCTTCTTACCTCTAATCTATGAAATTGATACTATTGCATAAGACTTGAGGTGGTGTTCTGTAAGGTGAATGCTAAACTCTTAAAAAGAGAAACACACATACATACGTTTATCTGTGTGGAAGAAAGCAAGTGAGCAAAACTGGAGAAAGAAAGAACATTCAGATCTTACACTATCTTTCGATTATGTGCAAATTAAAATCGTTACAGCATTTCTGAATTATACAGTCCACAAATTGATAAACTTTGATGAGATCAGATATCCAAGTTAATGGATATTTAATTTGGAGGATTAAGACTGCTGCTTATGTGACGTGTGACTGCTTATTCGTGGCTTACTCTTACTACTAACAGGATGGCATTAGAAGTACTGCTGGAACATACTTCACTCAGCTGTCATCTGAGAGAGGAAGACTTTTTAAACCTCATACTGCATGGCTTTTGCCATTTTGGAAAGTAGTAATGGGGAATAATGGGGTCCTTAAGGACCATTTGGAGTCTGTGCCCTTACTGGGCAAGCACACTGTGCTGGGGTGGGGAGAATGCAATAGCAACCACTGAGAACAGCAAAACTAGCCAAAATGACATAGGGAAAGGGGAATTTTAGTAGTTAAACCACTAACTTGGCCCTTGGAAAATTAGAGCTTATTTCACAGTCTACAATTACAGTCTATACTTAATGTCGTGAAAGTGTTCAGCTTATCTTCATTTTAAAGACATGAAGATAATAATACTTGAGTTTTCTGCTCCTATCTGTGAACTACTTTTAAATGCAAACTGATTTTAAGCTTATATCAGTGAGCATAAGAAGGTGGGTATCACAGCAGTTAATTACATGCTTGCTTTCAATGTGGGGATTTTAATGCCTGACACTTAATGGGTCCTTAAACTATATAAAATTGTATGCTTCCAAATGAGGGCAATTGTGCCATTCAAATTACAAAGCTCTTTTTGGAACTGGGTCTTTTAGCACTTTTACAGGTGTTTGTGAAGTAAATAGTTGTGTAAGGCAGCAGCTGTGGAAAATGAATGTTAGCTGTGATGAGACGGGGAGTCTCTTTTTGGCTGAAAATACCTGTTCACACATCCCTAAGGGAGAACAACATACGAATGAGTCTTAGTGAAATATCTCTTCTGAGCTCTTCCAGAATCTCTGTCTTTATTTTTTTTCTCATCCCAAAATACACTGTCACCAAGCTGTGCAGTGCTGTCAGAAATACCCCGACTAGTTCCAAAATCAGGGCAAAAGATCATGTCATTATGGCCCTTTCTTCTGATATGTTGGAGCATGTATGTGTATGCAGGGTTACTTAGCCCAGAGGGCTGAGTAGTGGAGCACCTTTCTATTGTAGTTGTAGCTCTTCCAGGAGCTGAGCTACAATCCCTGCCTGCAGTGCCTAGAAATACCAACTCTTCTGGAGCAAGTGCCAAAGCTTACTGTGCAGAGTAGAGTTCACCATGCCCCTAAAGCCTATAAGACGTTTCTTCCATCTGTGGCATCCTTGCTTTGACAGCTTGTGGAGGTTAGACGTGGCTTTCTCTAGGGCTGTTCCTTAGTGCAGAAGTAATTGGAGGTCCTCTACTTGTGCAGCATAAGAAGCAGAAATACCATCTCAAACTAGTTTTCCAAATGAGTTAACTAATGTCCTGTAGCAATGTGCTCGTAATGGCCAAAGGGGTTCAAGCCTAAATCGAGCTTTCACAGATTTTTCACCTAGTGATACACAGGATATTTGTCTGCTAGCTCTGACTCTAGATCTCATAATGTGTTGCTAGATTGTTGCTGTTCCCAAGGACATTTTTCCCCTTTCATTCACTATTGGTTCATTCTGCAGTTGACTTTTGGCAGAGGGAAGGAGTACCTGAAGCACATCATGGACGTTCACAAGGAGAAAGGCTATGGCTGTAGCATTTGCAACCGACGTTTTGCCTTGAAGGCAACTTACCATGCGCACATGGTCATTCATCGGGAAAACCTGCCTGATCCTAATGTGCAGAAGTAAGACAATGTGTCGGGCTGATAAGAGGAGCTATCTTTCTGACGTTGCACTGGCTCTGATGCTTGTAGAGAATTGGGCTGTACTAAAATATCTGAAACTGTATAATGGGTGTTAAAATGTTTATTAAAAGCTTTAAATATATATCACTAATGATTCACTTCACACTGATGATTAGTTGACAGCCTTCCAGTTTGGGCTTCGTAAAGTGTAAACCTATGATTTTGGTGAATACTTTCTAAAAAGTATGATTTGAAGAAGGTTCATTTTAAAAAATGCATTTACGTTTCATGGAGCTTTTGTAATAATAAATATTTCCAAATGAAATACAGTTACTAACAGAAATGCCTGAAAACCACCTCTGTCTCAGGAGAAGAATCATGGTTTCTGGTCTCTGGTTTCAGATACATCCATCCATGTGAAATCTGTGGAAGGATCTTTAATAGTATAGGAAATCTGGAAAGACATAAGCTTATACATACAGGTAAAGATGTTGTGTTTCTTTACTATTATCAATATTAAAAAAAAACCTTTCTGTTACCAGTGCCTGCCTTATGTTTTTCAGGAGGAAGCAAGTTATGTGTTTTTACTGTAAATTACAATAAGATAAATGTTACATTTGTGCCTTTTTCTAAAGCAGGTAGTAGTAATGAAGATATTTGGTCTAGGCACACAATACAGGTTCCTCATTAATATGATGCAGGATTCACCTGCTACAAATCCTAATTCTGAATTCTGTTCTTCCCTAACTCTTATCCATGCTACCTTCTCACCATTACACAGGCTGAAAACTGCTATTGCAAAATCATTTTTAACAGCTCATTATTATTTCATGCTATTCAGTATGTTCCTTCCTCAGGCTTTATCTTTTTGTTTGTTTGTTTTAAGATTTCACACAAAAAGCCAGCTTTTCTCTCCAAAGTCTTTTAATTTAGTTTGGGCTACATTATGCATGAAAGATGTGGTTGACAGCACAGGTGGACTGTTGCCCTCTAATTCACCAGATGAGGCAGATTTGAGGAGATGCACATTTTTCATTAACATTTTTTTTGTTTATGTTGTCTTTCAAATTTATTTTTAAGGTGTAAAAAGTCATGCTTGTGAGCAATGTGGCAAATCATTTGCTAGAAAAGACATGTTAAAAGAACATATGCGAGTCCATGATAATATCCGAGAATACTTGTGTGCAGAATGTGGCAAAGGTATGTTTAATGCCTCGTTTTCCATTAATTGTGATACTGAATAGCAGGTGATTATCTGAATTAAACTTCAGAATTGAACTTCCATTCTTAGAATATTGGGAAGGTCCTTGGAGTGCTCTAAATCCTGCAGATTTGAGAGGTAGAAACTGTATTAATCAACAGTCTTATGGTTGCATAAACTATCCCTAATTTTATACAATTTATTTTCATGGCCTGCAAGCCAAAACTGATTTTGATAAAATTCACTTGTCAGATGGAGGAGCGCTTGCCTGACCGAGTCCCAGTACATTTGCAGCACAAAAGTGAATACAAGTTAGTTTTTCCATTGTGTTGTCTTCTGGATTACTTCTCTCTGTAAGAGCCTTAAAGAGTCAAAGTTGCTTGGACTTTCTGAATTGTCCGTGTTTATAACTTGAGCAAATCTGAACTGGTATTTCAGTGTCAGACAGTAAGTCTGACATCTCTAATGATGTCTTGTCTTTGCTTGTCCCTGCTATTTTGCTTCTTCCTCAGTGGTTACTCAGATGTTTTCCAGAGCTTTTTTTCCTGGAATTAAAATAATAATGATAATGTACACTGCTACCTAAACAATTAAAAATACGCAGTTGTGGACACACAGCAAATGCAGTCTTAGAGCTCTTGGTTAACAAACATGTTCATCCTGAGTTCTCTTTTAAGGTGGGAGCAACGGACTAATTGTCACACTGTACCCTTTGTCTCACAGGAATGAAGACAAAACATGCACTTCGTCACCACATGAAACTTCACAAAGGGATTAAAGAATATGAATGCAAGGAATGTCACCGAAAATTTGCACAGAAAGTCAACATGCTGAAGCATTACAAAAGACACACAGGTGAGGTCTCTAAACATGTACAGAAGTTGCACTGAATCAGTTAAATCCTTCCTGAGAGAACTCTTAATCTAGAATGGTCTGGGAGCAAGAGGAAGACTAATAAAAACCACGCATAGTCTGCTTTTTGAAAAGTGAGATTTTCACCTTGTGTCAGCCAAGACCACCTGATATGCAATTAAAATACATAATTTAGTTGGGTCTGTGTTTTGCTTTTGTAAGAGTGGTTATTTTGGTCTAGGATAGGTCTAGAGTGTTTGGTTTTTTTTAAGTGAGTCTTCAGGTTCTCATTTCCCAAAAACGAAAACAAGATTTTACCTCCCACATCAGTTTCCTTTGGATTCATTTTCTGCCAGATATGGTGGCATGGCACTTGGAATTGTCCCAGATACCTTAAACTGTTTTCACTCTGATGCTAAATGTGCTCTTCATGCAGGAATCAAAGATTTCATGTGTGAGCTTTGTGGCAAGACGTTTAGTGAAAGAAATACAATGGAGACTCATAAGTTGATTCATACAGGTAAATAAATTCTCTTCAAAACAGTATCCAAAGACAGTATCTTAATTTTGTTCCTAGGCTTGCTTTAGACTTGCCAGTCTTGGAACTAGTGTTACACAGCATGTTACCAACATAGAATTTTTCCTCTTGTTGCGATGCTGGCAATACAATCCTCATCTTTGGGGGCTGTTGCTAACAGCGTTACCTTCCATCTGCCACCAGTAGGAAAACAGTGGACATGTTCAGTCTGTGATAAGAAGTATGTCACTGACTACATGCTGCAGAAGCACATTCAGCTTACTCATGATAAGGTGGAAGCCCAGAGCTGTCAGTTGTGTGGGACAAAGGTTTCTACCAGAGCATCCATGAGTCGACATATGAGGCGTAAACATCCAGAGGTGAGTTTGGCATTTTAGGAAGTGTCTGTTAAGCATGTGTCCTGGGTTCAGCTACAGCAGTCATTTTTTCTCCTTCTTAGTAGCTGGTGCAGTGCTGTGTTTCTTGACTTTCAGTCTGGGAACAACGCTGATAGCACCGATGTTTTTAGTTGTTGCTAAGTAATGTTTACTCTGACCAAGGACTTTCTCAGTCTCATGCTCTGCCAGAGAGGAGGGGAAGCCAGGAGGAAGCAGAGACAGGACACCTGACCCAAACTGGCCAAAGGGGTATTCCATACCACAGCACGTCATGCCCAGTATAGAAACTGGGGGGAGTTACCCGGAAGGCCCAGATCGCTGCTCGGGTCGGGCTGGGTATCGGTCGGCGGGTGGTGAGCGGTTGTGTCCTTTTCCCTTGTTATTCCTCTTATCATTATTATTGGTAGCAGTAGTGGTTTGTATTATACCTTAGTTACTGGAGAGCTGTTATCTCAACCCGTGGGAGTTACATTCCTCCAATTCTCCTCCCCATCCCTCCGGGAGCGGGGGGAGGAAGGAAGCGGCGGGGAGTGAGCGAGCGGCTGCGTGGTTCCAAGTTGCCGGCTGGGCTTAAACCACGACAGCATGCACTTAACTGAATCAGACCTTTCTTTATGTTGTGTTTCAGTAGTAAACATACCAATTGTCAGCCCCTAAAATAGAAGTTGTTCTGATTTTTTAAATCCCTTTTCTTTTTCTGCCCCAGTTTAAATGTATATTTTTGCCTGTTTGTCTTCATCCATTAGCGAGTATAATTGATTCTTTTTCCCCAGTGTGTTCTCTGTATTCAGAAGTGATCTGAAAGAAGTGGTGAATAGAGACATGATGGCAGCATCTGCTGATGATACAAAATTATTCTTAGTATTAAAGATGAATGCTGACTGCAGAGAATCTGGATTAGAGGGATGTTTTGTCTAACCCAAAGGGGTTCTTTTCTCTATTCTAAATTTCTGAATAGCTATTGTGTTTCTCCTCAGCATTTCTTGTTTAGGTTGACTGAAGCTTGTCTGTTCCCTTTGAGGCTTTTTTTTTATCATTAGTATTGCTTTGCTCTGAATATTTTATTATCATGATGACTGGGGAGGAAGTTAACAAAAAGCTTTCTTTATTGATTTTTGGATTACAAATGCAGCTATATATCTGCAATCCAGAGAGCAATTTTTCTCTGTCCTTTGATGAGCTGAGATTTACAGATTCAGCTGAAAATAGTGGATTAGGACACAGCTGATAGATTTATAAATAGAAATGCTAAAATAATATTTTTTTAAACACATTGTTTTCGGTAGAATTTATCACTTGTGTTCTGTGTAGACTATGAAAACAAACATATTCTTCTACTGTTGTCTTTAAACTTTGCTGGTTTTCAGCAAGAAGGAAAATATTAGATGCCGAAAGATTTTTTTTTTAAAGCCATGGTTGAAGCCCTTGTATTAAATGATATGTGTAAAATGTTAGAGTACATCATTTTCGCTTTGTGACAGGATTTATTAGGGCAATACTGTGTTGTCTGACTGTGGTTGTAATTGTTGAACTGCTGCAATTCACCAGCAGATACCTCTTTGCCCACAGATTCTGTCAGTGAGGATTGATGATTTAGAGCAGCTGCCAGAGACGACTACCATTGATGCCTCCTCAATTGGGATTGTTCAGGTAAATTCCTTATTGCAGAATTCTGGTGTCAGCTAGGTTCCCAGCCTACTGAAAGGTGAAGCGGGGACATTGCTTTTTTGGTACATAACATAGCTGGGCACAGGCTGATGGGCAAGGAATGTGCTTTTTTAGAGAGTCAGCCCCAGCTTAACATGTATAAGTAGATGCAAGCTCTTACCCGTTTCATTGGTTAACAAGGGTTAAAATGTGTTTCTCCAGCCAGAATTAGCCTTGGAACAGGGCGAATTACCAGAAGGGAAACAGCATATGAAAGCTCCTAAACGTGGCCAGAAACGAAAACAAAAGTCAGGTGAGGAGGAGGAAGCTCAAGTGCCTGAGGACCCTGCCTTCAGTGAATACACAGAGAAGGAAGGTGAATTCACAGGGAATGTTGGAGATGAGACTAATTCAGCTGTCCAGAGCATCCAGCAGGTGAGCTCCAGTAGCAAGGTGATGGGTAGCAGCCCTGCTTAGAGGGATAGTCCTTCTTTTCTCCACATAGCAAACAGAAAAAAGTGATGGGAACATCTAGAGCTAATTTGATAAATTGTGGTAATATAAAGATGAACATGGGCTTTTAAAAAACAAGGAGTTGGACCAGTAAGCTCCTCATGTTTGTTTTTATTTCCTTTGGTGCTACCATCTCCTTGTTTGCCAGAGCACTAACTGGCTGAACCTGTGACTGAAAGTGTGAAAGTTAATTTGGCTGCTTGTTTTGAATGCTGCATATGCCTCCCTCCCATTACCTTCTTATTTCTCCATGGAAGTTATATTCCAAGCTTTCTATGTTCCCCTCTATGTGTATGACTTCTCTTGCTGGCAGTAGCAACGTGAGCCCATGAGCACTCAGGTGATCTTTCTTGATGCTTGATATTTGGTGGTCAGCTGCAAGATACTAGGCTGAGTTACCTTTCTGTTTTTCTTCAGGTGGTGGTGACCCTTGGCGACCCAAATGTCACAGCTCCTTCCAGTTCTGTCGGGCTGACAAATATCACTGTTACCCCCATTACGACGGCGGCTGGAACCCAGTTCACAAACCTCCAGCCCGTGGCTGTGGGCCATCTGACAGCTCCTGAACGCCAGCTACAGCTGGACAACTCAATTCTCACCGTGACGTTTGACACTGTCAGTGGTTCCGCCATGCTGCACAACCGCCAAAATGACATTCAGATCCAGCCACAGCCAGAAGCAGCCAATCCTCAGTCTGTGGCCCATTTTATAAACCTGACCACTTTGGTGAACTCCATTGCTCCTCTAGGGAACCAGATAACGGAACAGCATCCTCTGACATGGAGATCAGTGCCTCAGACTGATGTCTTGCAGCCCCAGGCGCAGCCAACGCAACAACAGTCAGGACAGCAACAGGTTCAAACAGAGCAACAACAACAGATGTACAGCTACTAATTTATACTCTGACAAATTTTGAAATGGACAGTACTCAGAGACAAAAACACACAGACATTTGGAAAATTTCTAATAGGATTGTTTGCTGGATACCAAACAGAGTTGGGCAAATGTTTATACAATGAAATGTAAGCTAAAATTGGCATAGCACCCTGCAACACCCTAATCTTGAGATTCTCACACTGTCTCCAGACCTTGCACTGTCTTAAAAAAAAAGAAAAATTAAACAAATCTCACCATAAATTTAGCACCTCCTTGCACTGTGTATTTTATGCAGTAAGTTTGAGATTTGACAGAAGCATCATAACACATCATAACCAAAGCAGGGAGATCCTAAATATCACAGCATTGGTGATTTACAAAACCCTTTCAGCCATGCCATGTAACTTCATTCCAGTCTGGAAATTACATCTGAAGACCTTGTTCACAGTGAGGTGGAATGCATTTGCGGTCAGACGGTAGAGACTGAAATGTAAAGACACAAATGGGCACCACAGTAATTGTCTTGGTTTTTATCTTCTTTAGGTCTTGTATCTAACAACATTGATAAAGTAGGTGGAGGTTGGGGCTTTGGGGTTGGGGTGAGTGTGGTGTGGAAGAAAATAGACCAATTTCACAAAGTATTTCCATTTTAGTCATGGGGAAAACCCTCTACCCATAACACAGTGTTAGTGTTACTTAAATCAGATAGCTGGTCTAATGCTAAAGCAACTTTTATGGTCTTTAGTCAAGTTTGAATCAAACCCATTATGAACTGAAAAAAGAATGTGATACAGTTTTATGTAATTTTTCAAAGTGCTCTTTCAGTCTTGCTTTTAGCTACTAGGCCTGAAGAGCCAGCAGTCCCCTTTAATCAAGTTCAGGATGTGAGGTTTTTTGCAAATACTATTCTTTTGTCATGTAATTAACATTTGAGAAAGCATTCTTTTTATATATATATACATACATATATATATATGTATAGCCTTTGTACTGTACTGTGCGTTCCTGGTGAGTATTTGAGTGAAAAGCACTGATATCAATGAGATTCATTGGTTTTTTCATCCCCATATTGCCCTTTCTCACAGAAATAGTGGATGGGTTCTATTCCTTCTGTTTCCAAAACTGATTTCCAAAATTCATAGCCACACGCAAGGTTGCGTGAAACACAGGAACAAACAATGTCTGAAGCATATTCTGCCACATGGAGGCAGCATGCCCTAGTGTATAATGGGCAAGGTTTGCATGACTGTTTGGGATATAAATAGTGGGTTGGGTCAAATATATCGTTGCTGATACTACACCTTCATTCCATTCTCCATACATGGATGTGCAGTGTGGACTTTTGCATGTCAAGAAGATAGTATCCTTCCCACAGAGAAAAAGCAGCTGATAGCAAGAAGGAATAAACTAAAAAAAATAAAAAACCCTAAAAAATGTTGCTGCCTGGAATCCTGAAAGGCAAATGTACTTCCAGCTGTAGCTGAAGAACAAGGTGCTTTGGGGCAGCAGACTGAGCCACAGAACCATGCTAAAGCTTTTTGCTGAGGATAAAGCAGCTGCTGCGTTTGACACTGAAGATAGATTGATGGTTGTAAAAATCCTGTCTGTGCCTATCGTATTTATGAAAATGTTCTATGTATTAGCAAAAAATATGAGTAGGAATGACTTCAGCTTTGAAAGTCTGTATTAACATGGACTACTTGACCCCTAAATGATGCCTTATAATTGCTACAACAAACTTTTCCAAAGTATAAATGTTAATTAAAACTAATCTGCAGTGGTTTTCTTGGTGCCATAGCAGTGTCCAGATGCTCATTACGCTAGGCTCTGTGTAAATTTTAGTTGTGACAGGAAATGTGTAGGAATGGGGTTTCTGGAGACAGGTTTTGTGTGTCAGGAACAGAACTACTTGTATGTAAATGTCAGTAAGTCTGTAAAATGTCTGCATGGGAGGGACCTATATTTGATGGGACAAGGATGCACATCTGAAAGAAAATACCTTTTACAGATGTGGAAAAGAGAATTTTTCATTCCATGGCCTCTTCTGTCTTTCTCAGATCCTTTTCAAACAATATTGTGTAATTTTATTAGCATCCCAATATCCTGAGAAATGCCGTTTAATGCCCCTCTGTTACCTGCATTATGTTGCTGCTAGCTTGAGCCAGTTACGTTCCTCATCAGCTGTCCTGTCCACAAATGTCCCTTCACACCAAATCCACTGCTAAGCAGCAGCTAGATTTTATTTATGAAATATGTTGTTTATGTTCTTGAAAGTACTTGAAACTCCCCTCCTCCCCCATCGCTGTGTTTGGTGCCTAATTGTAAAGGCACATTATCTTTTGGCAGGGTACTTTACAGGGGTAAAAATAAAAAGGGGGGAAGGAAATCAAATGGAGAGGTCCTAGGTCAAGTTGTTGTGGTAAATAAAAGATGGCTAACATCTACAAATACACATTTATATATGTACACATACACATGGAGGGTTACAGTGCTGCATATAGAGTTTCTACCAGATCAGGGTTTTGTTTAGACACACATAAACGGAGATAAAGCTTTACAGTGAGGAAGGACAGTTTTTTTGCTTTAGCTGCAAAGTGAGTACATCTGCTCTGTGTTAATACTACTTATAGTAACATTCATGATACATTGAATCAACCTGAGTAATTTTACTGTGTAATTGCCTATTTGTTAAGACTTGTGTAAGGATGGAGATAAGCAGCCATTATAGACTTCTCTCTGACTTTGCGAAACCTCTTTATCCTAACGTGATTCTCTGGTATTCTGTACTCTTAAGCTGCCTCACATCCCTCCTGTGTGAATCTGATTTAGGCAAGTCAGCATCTTACGCTTTGGGTAATGATTGGTTCTAGCTGATGTCAAAAGGAATGATCACACAAATGCTTGTTGTGACCATGTTGGGGGTCACCCAGAGAAGAAATGTCTCTCTTTAGTCTCTCAGTATCCCCAAGCTCATAGAATTACAGACCAGGCCAGGCTGGAAGGGACCTCTAGAGATCATCTGGTCCAGCCTTTATTCGGGAAAGGGAGCCTAGGTGAGGTTACCTAGCACCCTTTCCAATTGTGTCTGGAAAACCTCCATTGAGCGGGACTCTATCATGTCATAGAATCATAGACTAGTTTGGGTTGGAAGGGACTTTCAGAGGTCATCTAGTCCACGCCTCCCTGCAAGGAGCAGGGACATCTTTAACTCCATCAGGTTGCTCAGAACCACATCCAACCTGGCCATGAATGCCTCCAGGGATGGCACATCTACCATATCCCTGGGGAGGCAGCTCCAGTGAATGACTGTTCTTACTATAAAAATTATCCTAATGAACGTTCTGCTTTAGAAGGGGGAAATATAACCACTGGAAGGGCTTTGTCTAGGCCAGGCAATGGAGAGCTTTCTAAAAGCTAATCTTCCCAGAGCACTCCTTTCTGAAATGTTCTTGACTTTCCCTGCATCCATTGCTGTGGTACCTCATCATCTCTTGGTGTGATTTTATTATTACTGCTGTTATTACATCCCTATGAGAACACAGTTGTATCTTGGGTGTGCTGCAACATGAAAAAAATAAATTGTTTTATTTGATTTTTATTTCAAACAAATTTTGTTTGGAGATGTTGGAAATTGATGCCGCCTTGGACAGAGCTTACCTTGAATGAGCAGTGACTGCAAGCTGCTCTCCCAGCTAAGTCTTTTTCAGATGAGTACCAAAGTTATACTGATGCCATTTCAAACTGCACAAGAAATA